AGGCCCCAGGACGGGGCCGCAGGGAGAGACAGACGCAGCGGCGACCACCGCAGGTGCCAGCCCCACGCCCCAGCTGGGCTTCCCCATGTGCCGCCCGGGCGCCCCAGGGTGCCTCTGCTCCCTGACTCCGACTCAGCTCCAAGCTTTGCTGCAGCTCTGGCCAGTATTTGGTAAACTCTGTAAATATTGTGACAATAAATATTGCTACTTCGACCAAGCCAACAGCAGAAATACACCACAGAGACCCGTGGAAGCGCCAGCTTTCTGGAGCACAGTATGGAAACCAAGGGCAGCTTCTCCACGAGTGATTACGTGTCCTTTTGCCAGGACAAGTGCGCACACACACGTGCCATTTTTTTAAACAAACAGGGATATTTTCAAGGGATACCGTGCAGATGTGAAGACAGGAATTTGTAAAAATGATGGCATGCAGAAGACTTGCAGTTTGCAAAAGTAGACATGGAAACTATTTCCAAACAAATATCTTGTTTTTTAAAAGTACATTTAGAGTCAGGAAGAGACCACGGGCAAGACTTCCCTTTACTCGTGCAAATGCCAATTATTCCATGCATTTACAAACAAAATTCAGCACATGTCTGTTCCTCATACCCATACACCTAGTGCCCAGAGCAAACACCAAACCGCATGAAACTCAGCGATGCCTATGGGGCCCGCGTCAGCACACCACGCAGGTTTGCCCCACCATCAGCAGGCGTCTTAGCAGTCATGATTAACATCATCTAACGCACAGAATAACGTTTGCCAGGTCTTGCCAGGCGAGCCAAGTGTTCTTTTGCTGTGACTTATGATATCAAACTCTTTTACAAGCTATCCGTTGAGTGAATCGCTACCACAGCGATTCCCTTTGCCTTCTCCCGAAAGGACCTAACTGGCTACCCCTGGGGGCATCTGAATGCCTTTGAAGTCAAAAATAAATCTTCCCAATAGACACATGGCCCTAGAATTTCTCACTCTTGTTCCAGTTTCTGTTAAGCCCTATTATCTCACTCTTCACATCTCTGGGATACGTTGAGGATGAAATATTCTAGCTTGGTTGAGAGACGCATGACAGAGCAACAGAGGAGCCAGAAATGCTAACTTCCAAGTTACTGCTGCTCACCTTGGAGCTGGTGGCAGGAAAAAAAAATCCCAATAATTGAACATGAAATCCCATTGATCTTCGGGATTATTTATTTATTCCACGCTCACTTGCTTAGAGCTCCAAGAGGCACTTACAACAGCTGGGTGAAATAAGCAAGCAGAAGTGCTCAAAAAGATGGTTCTCAACATGCGAGCTGGGCTTGCGCTCGTTGCCTGAAACGGGGCGCAGCGAAGCCCCCACGGCAGCCCCCTACCCGCCCGGGCGGCCTCTTTGCATCCGTGCTCCAGCGCCACTGCCAACCCCGCCATGCATGGAGGGGGGGTGGGCAAGGGGCTCCAAGAAGCCCCTCCAAGGCTGTGTGAGACGGCTTGGGTTGAGACCAACAAAGCTGAGAGTGACCCAGGAGCATTTACCCACCCTCCTCCTCAAACAGAAAGCCCCCGTTCTCCCAGCCCCGTCCCCAGAACCATGGAAAGCACTCGAAGGGCTTCTCCTGGGTTCTATGGGAAAAGAGCAGCAACGCAGCCAAGACATCTCCTCTTCTCTACTGAGGACCCCTTTGGTATCTGCGGTCGTCTTACAGACGTGGAGGTTTGCAAAGGCAGCAACTACTTCATTTCAGTGAAGTGCAAACACCACACAAGCAGCTTGTCAGCCACATGGCAATCGCTGCCCAAGCTGCTGTACTCCTTAATCTAATTCCATTTAATCCAATTTATTGTCTTAAAGTGCTGTCTCACTTAACACAAGGATTCAGGATCACTGCTGAAACGCAGCTCTTGACCCAAGGGTCTCATTTTTTGTAAAACCTCCATCTGAAGCTCTATCTACGCAGGCAGCCGTCGGCACGGCCTTTGTAAGCACAGCACACTGCCAACAGGTTCTCCTAAAAAAACCCTCTAGAACAAATAAACCACACCGAACTGCCGTTTGTTGCTCACCTCCGATGTAAACAGCACCAGCATTTCCTTTCTTTAGGTAAGGTAAGGCAAGTCAAGGAGGTTTGGCTGGGCATAGCCCTCAGCTCGGCAGCCGGAGCGCGAGGCATTTTTGCAGTGCCTCACACGGGGACCGAGGCACGCTGCCGCCGCGGGGAGCTCTGCGAGCCAGCACTTATCGCAAAATGGAATCAAATCATTAACAGTGGCACGTGACGGGAAGAGGGAAGCCTCTTTCCAAGAAGGGATGCTTGTTGCAGACTTGTTCCTACGGTTCCTCTCCTGAATAGCAGTAGAGTAACCACCACATTAATCTTCCTGGATGTTGCAGTCGTGTTCCACCACCGCTCCTGCTACTTAAAGAGTACAAGGTAAGCATTGTTAGCTTGCTTTACCGCATGATTGAATTAGCGCATGGTATGTGTACTCCATATAGGCCCAGTCTTTCAATATGGGATTTGTGTACCCAGGCAGCCATCGCATCTGCTGAAGCCACGATGAAATACCACGCGTTTTCAACTAACGCAGCCAGCAGGCCAGCGCAGCTTTCGGAACAAACCCCTTACAGAGGCGAACCACTCAATTCTCCTATGACGCCTCCTGATGAAGCAGAACTGCATCTGAGAACACAAAAAGCATGCTTATTTTATAAATGAACCCTTTACAACTTCCATCTGTTGCTATTCCCGGACTGCAGGTCAGCCCCCAAGTTTGCTACCTGAGAAGCGCACAGTGGTGATTTGGATGGCAAATCCTACATTCGCTCACCAAAAGGTGGCCTTTTAAGTCTTAGAATGACTTCGTTATTCATTTTCCCATTTGTAACCCTTCATGAAAGTAAAGAGGAAAACCAGCAAGATGTAAGGTTCGATTTCTCTCTCTCACACCAGTGACGTTAAGGACTTGGCTCATCAAACTCGGACAGATCACCCCAGAATAAAGCAGCAGGACTGCACATACTGATATGTCCTGAGGCATTTTCTAAGGGACTCAGGAAATGAGGTTCTTTAAATGATAGCATCAGCAACGCGTAGCGAGAAGCAACAAAAGCTGTGTACAAAGGGGTAAAATACCAGACATGAATGCCATTAAATAAGCCTTACCAGACCGTCACAATTGCTAATAGCCACAGAAGCTCCGGGGATGTCACTTATGTCTCCCACATAGGCGCAGTTGGTCCACAGGGGCTCTCTTTTCCATAATCTCTCTGCAGCAGTTCTAGTCTGACTCGTGTTACCAGCATCGTTTCCAGTTTCCACAGAGTCTTCGTACCACTCCACTACCGCCTCGGGAGCCACTAAACGAGTGTTGGGTTTCAGCCGGAGATGGAATTCCCTTCCAAATGCAGTGACATTAAAATACAGCTGTTTGGGGCTTTGGGATACCTCCCGCGTTGATCTTCTTTGGTGACTTGCAGAGAGGATATTGGAGACGTAGCTTCCGTCTGCATTGGTACTAATTGGAATCACTAACCCATACGGTCTCGGTCTGCTTTTTCGTAATTCTGCCAAGAGAAATACCCAAAACCAAACTAAAATTAGAACAAGAGCATGGAACGAGCCTGAAGACTGCAGACCAGATGTGCAGCTGCAGAAGCGCATGCCACCAGAGCAAACGGTAAATGCAAGGACGCAAGGGGCCGTTGCCTTGCCCGTTGGGGGCTACGCTCGTTGGGAGAGCGCTCCAGCTGCAGCTCACTTACCGCACCGTGGTCGGGCCTACCGTCTGACGCCACGTGTGCAGAACCCCTCCGCCTCACGTCTCCCCTTCCAAAACCCCCCATTTAGGATTCCTGTTGGAGCGACTCTAAGTGGCTCCACTGACAAGTTCAGCTGAAGAACGATAAAAACCCGCGCAGTCTGTGAAAGGACAGGGGACCGTGCTGCTTACCGCACCACCGTGCATCAGCTTATCTGTAAGCACGCCGACGGGAGGCAGGCGGCGTAAGGTACGGGTCGCTGCTCTCCTTCGCGGGAACGCTCGGGCTTAGGAACCTCCACGGGGGTGCCCTACAGCAAGGCCTCCAATACTCTTAACGCTATCGACCCTGGCTATAAAAAAGCTTTGTACTACTTTTACGCAGACACCGAGGGGACACGGAAGAAAGAAGAAGAAAAGCGTCTGACACATCACCGCGTAAAGCAAGGCACGACAAACCAGGGATAATTTTGTACTACTTTTACGCAGACACCGAGGGGACATGGAAGAAGGAAGAAGAAAAGCGTCTGACACATCACCATGTAAAGCAAGACACGACAAACCAGGGATAACGCGAGGGGAAGGCCACTTACATTTTGGGGAAAGCGGACGGACCACGCCAAGGAGGTCAGACGCAAGAAGCTGCCCCCAGTTCTGCACCTCAAATCCCGCAGACGCTGGGATACACATTAAGCGCATGCAAAATACCCTCCACGTGCCAAAATTTTCAAGAAGCAGCTCTTTCATGACACTATTTTCATAAAACGTACAGAGAAAACCCAGAAATGTTCATTTACATCCACCTGGGGAGTCTCCTGGGGTTCAGGTTGGCTTACTAGCCACAGAAGAGGCAGCGGCCCTTCTGGATTCTCTCTTAAGAAACGCCACCCAACTCCTCCACACACCTTGAAAAGAATTGCTTGCCCCTGCGTCAAGACCCCCATTAGGATTCTGAAAACAAAGCGCCGTGCTTGGTTATACCTGCAATTTGCATACCTATTTCTGCAGTCTTACAAAATTGAAATGGGGAAGAGAGTCCAGCGGGTATCACGTAGCGCAGATAAATTCATCTATGCCAGCAGTGGTGTAAGCAGTAACTGCTTCCTCTACAGATCACCTCTAACAAAGCCCCTTACCCAGCTACTTGCTGTTGCCTTTCCTCTTTGTGTAACTTGAGTAGCAGAGTTCAAAAACAACAGAGAGAGAAGCTAATTATTAAGAAAAACCAGCACGGAACTTGAAAAATCCGTACCCAAATCCTGCACTTACTGCAAAGCACAGAAGGTACAAACCCAGCAAAGCCGCAGGCTGCTGATAGCACTGCAGAAGCCCTCGGGTAACGCCGCAGCAGCTCCAGGGCAGGACCCTGAGCTCAGGCGACCTGTCCCCAAGGCGGGGTGGGCTTCCTTGGCGCAGGCGCTGCTGGAATACCTCTCATCAGTGCTGGAGCATGCCGGGTACCCGAGCCGTGGGGGCCAGGCACGGCTGCGGGCACCCAGTTACCGAGCAGAAGTTATCCCACGGCCAACTGGCCTTAGGCAAGCAAAGGCACGGTAGAAAAAAAGGTAACAGCAACGAAAGCCCCGTTGCCTATCATTTTTCTGTGGTTCCCACCGGTCAACTCTGGATTTCTGCCTAATTAGCAGCAACATTAGCCGACTGGAAACCTTCCAGCTGGGTTCCGAATTTGCCTCAGCATGATTACAACACACACACCCCCCGCCAGCCGCTTTCTGTGTAGTCCCTTACCTGCATCCTGAAAATAGCACTATTAGCCTAAGGGAGTCATTTTTCCCCGCTCCACTCTCTGCTATTCTTAGGCACTGATGAGAAGAGGACGAGAATCTGCGCTCGCGCTCAGAGAAAGGTCTTCACCTCCGCAGCCCCGCAGCAGGACACACACACACACACATGTGTTTCCCGGTGCTTTAAGACATTTCACACCACTGTAAAGCAAGGCCACCAAATGAGTTCATCTGTGCTGCGAGACCTTTGCGATCTGGAAGTAATCAGGATGCTGGGTGCCCAATTCTCGCCCTGTAAAAGGAGGAGGAGACACATTCTCGGGCCAGGTCAAGCTGTGGACCAAACTCCTGCTAAGAACTGGACCAAAGCCTAAGTCTTGTTGCCTGTGTATTGGACTACGGGAGAATTAAAAAGACAGAAATAATTATTCCCTAGCTCTCCTCTTCCGGAGAGCACTGGATAGGGCGTGATCAGAGCGATAGGACCGATACTTTCCATTTAAAATACTGCACGACTGGGTGGCTGAGATGCTACCGCTAAGTGCCACTGAGAATTCCTCAAATGAACGTGCTGAGCTAAATGAGCTACGTGTTACCGCTCCCAGCCTGAATCACGCCTGAACTGAGAACTCAGAGAGGAAACGCTCAGTAGCTAGCTCCTCTCTCCTGGTGGCAGGGCTTATTTTAAGGGACTCACACATTTGACGAGTAACCTCAGTAGGAAAATGTTCCTAATGGCTTCACCTAACCGTCTTTTATCCAGTTTTCCTTTATGCCAGTTCCTGAGGGATTTGACAGAAAACCAACGCATGGTACGTACACGGACATTTTAGCTCTCACACTATAAACATCTTTATGTAATACAGAAATACATCTCCCAGGCAAGTGAAAGGCTCCTCATCGAGGCCGCTGCTCCAAGAATGCACCCCGTGGCCTACAGCTAGCAGCCACAGCGCCGCTCTCGACAGGTGCCAC